CGGAGAAACATGAAAGCCTATAAGCTGTTAGTAGCAGAACTAAACTGTGAACATTCCATGAAATACTGTTAGGTGACTGCACTTTGCTTCTGTATCTTCACGTTTTTGAGATCCACCCATGGCATAGTAGGCATGAGTAGTTATTTCTGTCGAGCTGTATTCTATGAGACAGGGATCTCCCACATGTTGCTTTCCCATTCACCAGTGGATGTCCATCTCTTCACATTGTGTCCATGTTTTGGGCTATTAAAAATGATGTTAGTGTCAGCATTTCTGTGTAGTTCTTGGTGTACACATTAATTTCATTTATCTTGGGTAGATTGCTGGGAGTGGCACTTACTGAGCTTCACTAAAAGTTTTTATGTGGCTTTTACATACTTGTGTGGTTTATATCTAGATGTCCTTCCAAAGCCTGTGTGCTCACAGGTGGTTCTTTTGAAAGGTAATTGTGTCATGGGGTGCTGTAGGTAAATGTGATGCTGGGAGGTCGGGTCTGGTCCAAGAGGTGGGTCGTCTGGAATGTGACCTGATAGGGTGTAACTCTCTCCCAGATTCCTCCCTCCACCTTCTACTTTCTGCCTACATGAGGTGCGGGCAGCTTTCCTCAGCCCAGGCCCTTCTGCTGTGCCACCCACATCCTGCGAGGACTGAAACTTCTAAAATGTGAGCCAAAATAAACCCGCCCTCCTTGAAGTTGTAGATGTTGGGAATTGTCTCAATGACAAGAAAATGGCTGAACAGTATTAGCCATATCATTTCTAGCATGGCTGGCATGGCACCATTTTATACTCCAGCCAGCCGTGTGTAAGCATTCCAGTTTCTCCACATCATCGTCAGCTGCTTTTTCATCTGTGTTCTAATTATAGTCATTCTAGCCGTGAAATAGTGTCTTAGTCACTTTCTCATCACTGGAAGAAAATACCCAACCGCACAACTTAAAGGGAGAGATGTTTATTTTGGCTCAAGCTTCATAAGTTTCAGGCCATGGCCAGCTCCGGTGCAGAAGCCTTGTGGTGGAAGGGCCTGGGTAGAGAGCACACAGCTGATCCCCTCGCAGCCTGGGAGCGGAGAGCCAGGGGAAGGGAAGGGGAGGGAGCTAACACCTTGTAGGTCACAGCCCAGGGACTTGCCTCCTGGGGCCAGACGCTGCCTCTAACAGCCCTTTGTGCTCCAAACTCTTCAGTGGATAAATCCACTCTTCGGGACAGCCCCACCACCACCACTGTGATCCGGTCACTTTCATGTACTCACGCCTCTGTGTGCGTGCGTTTTGGAGACGTTAGAAATCTAAGCCATAACAGTATGCCATTATGGTTTTCATTTTCTTTTCCCTGACAATTAATGGTGCTAAATCTCTTTAAATCTGCTTACTACGCATTTGTAAAAATATGTTAGTGTTTGTTCAGATGTTTTGTCTATTTTATATAGTGAATTATTTGTTGTCTTACTGAGTTTTAAGTGTTTTGTATAGCCCAAATATATATGCTTTTTACAATGTATTGTTTGCAAACTCTGGTTGCCTTTTCATTTCTCAATAGTGTGTTGCAGTAGGTAAAATAATGTATCCCCACAACGATATTCTTATTCTGGTCCCACAGAACTTGTAAAAATGTTTTGTTACTTCATGAAGGAGACTCTACAGGTATAATTCTAGAAGATTTTGAGGTAGAATAGTTATCCCAGATTAATTAGGTAGACCCCCTGTAATAAAGAAAGATCTTCATAACAGAGAGGAGAGAGTTTCAAAAGTTTAAAAAAAAAAAAAAAAAAAGAACTAGAGGTTGAAGAGATACACCCTGAAGAGCGAAGGACTGTGGGCCAAGAATGCAGGTAGGCAAAGAAGGATTTGCCCTTGAGATGTTTGGGAGGACTATCACCCTATCAACACCTTGATTTTGAATTTTTGACTCCAGAACTGTAAAATAATAAATATATGTGTGGTTAGAAAGCCACTATGTTGATGGTGTTATACTAGCTGCAGGAAGATAATAGTCTTTTTGAAATTGGACAGTTTTTTATTTTCATGAAATCTAATTCATCAGTTTTTTTATTTTATGGGTCGTGCTTTTGGGAGTTTTCGAAGCTTTATTTTCTTAGTTCTTTCATTTATCATTGATAACATTTTGAATTATTTGTGTACAGCAGGACATAAGGATCTGAGTGATATTGGGGGTTTCTTTTTATTTTTCTGTTTTTGATGTTTATATTGCCACATTGTTTTTCATTTTGTATTACCAATTGCCACAGGAGCATTTGAAAAGACCATCTCTTTCTAACTGAATCATCTCTGGACCTTTGTCAGAAGTAAACTAGCTATAGATGTAAAACCTTATTTCTGAATTCAGTTTTGTTTCCTCTACATATATGCTGTTCTTGTGCCTTTAATACTACCATCTTCACTAGAACTATTAGGGATTTTTAAAAATTGGATATTTCTTTTTTAAATTGGATTTTTCTTCTCAATTTGTTTTGTTCTCAATTTTTCCAGTTTATTTTGTCTATTGTAGATCTTTTGCCTTTGCAAATTAATTTTAGAATATGCTTTTAATCTCTACAGATAAAGAAAACAGCCTTCTAGGATTTTTATTAAGGATTGCCTTTGATTTATGGGTCAATTTGAGGAAAATTGCCACCTTGACAGTACTGATGTCTAGTCCATGAACATGAATATCTCTTTATTAAATTTGTTTATTGGATCTTTAATTTCTCTTAATGATGCTTCATGGTTTTCAGTATGTACATCTTGCACCTTTTGTTAGATGTAATGTTTTTGTTCACTGTTGTGATTTTTTTGCTGCTGTTGTGAAGAAAATGTCTTAATGTTAAGATTCTTCACTGCTTGTGTTTATCTTTTTATCTTGTATCCTATAGTATTGATGAATTTTTTTAAACAAAATTCACATTTTATTTAGATTGAAATAAACTACAAAATTTTCTTCAAAAAAGCGCAACATTTTCTGTATTATTTCTAAACTACAAAATACTAATTTTGATGAATTTTTTTTAATTCTTGAAAAATTTGGTGGATTCCTGTATTTACATATAGGATCCAGGTCATTTATGAATAATGACATTTTTTTCTAATCTAATGTTTTTATTTCATTAATTATTTTATAGCTAGAACCTCCCAGATTTTATTGAAGTGGTAAGAGGCAACGTCTATGACTTGTTCTGAATCTTAAGAGAAAATGTGTTTAATTTTTTTACTATTAAATATAGTATTAGCTGTGGGTTTTTCTTGAATGTCATTTAAGAAGTTGAGGAAATTTCCTTTAAGTTCTAGTTTGTTGATAATTTTAATATTGAACTGGTCTTAGATTTTATCAGGTATTTTTCTGATAGCTTTTAAGATGCAATTTTACTTCTACAAAAATGCTGTGTAACATTAATTTTTATATATATATATATAATTTTAGTCTCACCACTTGATCATGGTGTATCATCCATTTTATGTGTTACTTGTTTAGTTTGCTGTGGTCTTGTGATGAATTTTTGTATGTTTATCATGAAGGTTATTCTGATGTTTTCTTGTGAAAAGGTAAGGGGAAGTGAAGAATGAAAGATTGGTTGGAAAAGAGTAAAAGGAGACTTTCTAGGGACACGATTATGTTAAGTATGAATATATGGATGTATGCATTTCTCTAAAATCTTATGTCTGAAAATACAAAATGGATAAATTTTATAAAGATTGTATTTTCATAGAAATTGTTCTATCACAAGGCAGACTGGGAGAATTTCCCTAATATTATTGTCACTTTTCTAACAAATTTTTAACAAGTGAACTTGAAATAAATTTTATACAGCATGAGTTAGGTGACAGTGATGACAAATAATGGTGTAGATATTCTTTGTAATCACTGCTGTCTTCTTACAAATCCTGTTTCATACCCTTAGCCCTCATTACTCCTATTCCTGATAAGTGCTCTAGAGCTGCTCGCATGACTTCTTGCTTCCTGGCATCTCTCATAACACACCTTAGTTAGGTAGGGTCCTGAGGGTCATTCTTACGTTGAAGTTTAAAGAGGAAATGTCTCAGTAATGCATTCTTAACTAAAAATTCCCTTGCTGCTAACAAGTTATTTAATGTAAAATGTTTCCATTTGTTTCAGTGGAAAAATTAATGTGTTTTATCTCAGCCCGTGTTATCTAGTTTTCACAGGGAAGTCAACTAAATAATGAGAAAAATTTATAAGAAATGAATATTGTGAAAATAAATAGATTTAGCTTGACAGTAAAATATAATGTGAAAGCTTATGGTATGAAGCAAACGCAGAGGGTACAGGTAGGTGAAGAGGAATTGGGGACCATTCATTATAGAATGCATGCTTCTTTTTATACTGTTTCTTCATCATTGGCTCAGTCTTTATATTCTTGGTATATTGTTTTCATTCTGAGCCTAAAGATAAATTACAGTTCAGGAAAACATTTCAGGACTACTGAAATCTAGAAATAATCATGAAACACGCGAAGGTAGCATGCACATCACATCTTTTGAAATACTTTCCAGTCTATTCACTTGATAGATGTATGCAAAAAAGGGAGAGGCTTCTTATCCCAGCATTCTGAATGGCTCAGGCAGGAGGGATCACAAGTTCAAGCCTGGTCTGGGCAACTTACTGACTTTGAAAGATCCTTTCTCAAGATAATAAAAGGGGCTGAGGCTGCAGGTCAGTGCAGAGGCAGTGGTTCCAATCCCTAGAATTACCCACATGCACTAAATACACAAGCTGGTTCCTTTCTAAACTGTTATGTGAGAGAAATTGTTGTATTTCGGTCCAATATTAAAATGTCAAAATAAATGTTTTATAACATATTCAGGATATTTTGACTATAAAACTCATCGTACTAAAAAAAGGGATGCATTACCTGAAAGGTAATAAAACTTTTCGTGAGTGTTTAAACTAAAATGTCATTGAACAGTTAGCAGCTTTATGGATAGACGTTGACTTGTGGTATTTGTTCACTGCGGTAGATAGCAGATCTCATCTCTTTCCGTGTAGATACCTCTTCTGGCTCAGAAGATGAAGGCTCGGTGCAGGGTGATTCCCAAGGAACCCCCACCTCCAGCCAAGGCAGCATCAACATGGAGCACTGGATCAGCCAGGCCATTCATGGCTCCACCACGTCTACCACCTCCTCCTCGTCCACCCAGAGTGGAGGCAGCGGGGCTGCTCACAGGCTGGCTGACGTCATGGCCCAGACACACATAGGTGAGCACCCTTGGCAGGGTGGGGTCTGCACCTTTCCGTATCTGACTCACTGTGACGAAACAAGCACTGAGTGTCTATTTGCTTGTTCTGTTTGTATTCTGGCCATCGGAGCTGCCTGATGGTCGTCACCCACCACCCCTCTGATTCCTGGGGTGATTTGGCTGTACTGTTTTCTGATACTCCTGCTTGTTTGCCTTTGCTATTCTAATCTCTCCCACAGGTGGAAATTAATGTGCTGTCTCTTCATAAAGGTTTCCAGTCTTGTTCTTGAGGGAATCATGCAGCCCTATCATGTGTTTCTGTCTCCCTCCTGCAAAACTGTGCTTCTCAATAACATTTGAGTATCACTGATACACAAAATAGGGAATTTTAAAGTAGAGTTACATTACACTGGGACTTATTTGAGGATGTTGGGAGACTTACTACTATTTTCAGCTGTAGTTACTTAAATACCTTATGTTCTTCATGCTTCTTGGTGTATAGGATTTATAATAAGGCAGAGCTTCTGAATTAGAAAAAGCATGAAATTAGGAAGTGTTGAGATGTTTTCTAACAGTGCAGAGAAGGAGATGGAGAAAGCCATCAGAGGAGAGAGCCGGAGCCTGTTGGATGAGTGAGTGACTGTATGAAATATGGGTCCTGTTAAACATTGTTCATGTCTGCTTGGGCCCATGTGCCTTGCACTTACTATACCCAGGCTAGACCTTATGTGGAGGGGGAAGTAGAGCCCTAGTCTGTTCTTATCCGTTCTCCACTGTTGATTAAAGATGTTTAAACCTTTCAGTAATAAAAGGTTTTCATAAGGTAAACGAACTTGCACAAATTATGGTTCAGTATGATCTATTAAAATAATGTAGAGGAAAGGTCAGGCTCAGAGAGGCTGGTGCAGACTGTGTTGTTATCATTCGGGGAGCATGAGACACAAATGGAGACCTTTCAGCCACATCTGCTCTACTGTAGGGACACCTGGTGACTGCAGTGCTCCATCTCAGCAAGCAGTAAAGGCAATTAATGACTTATCTACACCAAAGTTCTATCAGTTGCCCGGTGTTCATTTCTAGATCCATAACCACTTGATGGACGGGCAAAGTAGTTTCAGACTGACATTGGAAATCTTAGCCTTATTCACACTCACTGAAAAAAAGCATCAGCCTTCTTGTGTACAGAATCAGACATTTTGTCTGATGTCGAGAGAGCAGGATCAGGGCTCGGTTCCTCCATTAACAAGTACTGAAATCTCAAAGTCACTTCTGCTTTTGATTTGTGGTAAAAAATAATGGGAAAATAATTTCTTGTCCTTGTACCTCTTAAAGCAGTTGTGAGGAATATTCTTAAGTTTTAAAGTAATACTCAAATGTATAGTGGCATCGTTTCAGGTGAACGTATTTTCAGGGCCACTTGTGCTGGTTAATGTAAGCTAATAACCTCATTTCAAATCACAGTAAGTTAGACAACTGAACAGGAGTGCGTCACCATTAAATATTTTTGGCAGTAAAATTTCTCAGGATTGTGGCTGAGGCTCTGGGAGCTCTACCTTGTACTGGAGCAAGGCAGTCAGGCACCTCTGCTACATGCAGATGTTCATATGCTCTGATTTGGTTCACTTTTAAAGAGGTTCTCAGAATCTTACCAAGAGGAATGAACATGGATTTGGAACACATTAATTGCTGCATTTGGCTTTTCCTTTGTGAGTTTACACTTGGAATCCTGGAGGAAATTACAGCCTGGAGAATTAAATTTATCCCAACTATAAAAGGTTGCATTACTCATGTACATCAAGGCTCATTGCAACCTAAATATAATCCTGCAGTGTGTGACATTTCAGTAATTTCTCATTTGGCACAAAGATAAGTTCCTAGAATATCTGTGAGTTTTCTATAAGTATGAAAAAGAACACTTTTTAAGGAAAGAAAGTAGTGACAAAATAATAAAACCTGACAAGAAGAGGAGAATTAAAATATTTCATTCCCGTAGCAAAACAATAGAAGTAAAATATCAGAGTTAGCAGCATGTGACCTTTTGCTGAGATTATCAGAATCCTAGGAACAAGGTAGTATAGTATGGGTGTGCAGGTAGCTGGGTGTTTGAAAGAGCTCAGGACGAAATAAACACCCCAGTCCCATTTGCTAAGTATTTTACCTGGAGACTATAAGGACTTCTTTGGCCCACAGGGGAGAGAAGCTAAGGAGTTGAACATAGATCTTCTCCAAGGCAGGCTATTCTTCTCCAGTCCACAAGTTTCATTATGTCAACATTTAAGAAGGGAGATCTCCCATCTGTCTCAGTAGATAAGCTGGTTTAGCCAAGGATGTAAAATCCCATTCTAGATTATTGTTTCTTTTTCTCTGCCTTGACTTGCTGTGCATCTGGCAAGGTCTGCACGTGACTGCCATTCTCAGAGCACTGTCAGGGAAAGGCTCCATCCTGGGATGCTGAGATCTGAGAAGGTGTAAACTGGTAATTCCAGAAAGTCAGCCCTGCTGTTCTGCCAGCTTCCTGGGTCACAGTGCGATGGGATACAGTGCAGGCCCACCTTCTCTGTTGAGAAACTGAAGAGCTTTTCATCACTGACAGAACTAACTTAGGAAGAACCTTAAACCAATTAGAAATACAGGGATTTATGTTCCGAAGTAATTTAGCAGTGTCAAAAGTTAAGGAGCATCACTAGTAGACTTGATGGACTGCTCTTACACTTCAGGAGATGTATTTTTAAAAAGTGTTCAGAGTCAAATGTTATAGAAATTATTTAGCAGAAAGGAATGGAGGAATTGTGACAGTATTTAAATATATTCCTAAACTAAGAAATAAGAACAAAGCAGAATAGATAGCATTATTGTTATTGCTGAGTCAAACTTTGTACATATAGGATGTTAGATTTTTATATAAACATTTCCCTTTTGTTTTTAATCTCGAAATACATCGTTAAGGTCTCCATAATCTTTTGTTCATGGACTCACCTGGTGACATCACAGTATGTATTGGGGGACATGTTTTCATTAACCAGATAGTCCTAGCAATAATTGCCATTTCTAGAGAGTTTTACGATTTGGTTGACATTGATGTTGTTTTCAGTTGTTTATATTAGCCACCAAATTCTCATCAGATTTCTTACATCTGCTCCTGCTACATACTTGTTACGTGATTAGGAGTCTGGCAGTTGTACACTCTGACTCTAGAATCCACTTTACCCACGCATTTGTGCCAGAGGGTCTGAATGGCTGCCGTTGTGAAATATTATCCTCATTTATTTATATGTAATTACCTAAAGTATTGCCAATACTTTGAAACATTTACAGTCTTAAAATATCCCCTACAGATTGAAATTGGTGATGTTGACAGTCTTGCTACTTAACACTTAGGGCTGGGATCTCCTGCTGTGGCTCACCTCTCTCGGCTGGAGCATTCTTGCAGCTAGAGGTTTATAATTTTAGAGCAGCTCGGCAAGCTTTTCTTACAAAGGGCTGGAAAGAAGCTATTTCAAGCTCCATGTGGTCCGCATGGACCCTTTTGGAGCGCTTCAGCTCTGCTGTCCTTGTACAAAAATGGCCCACAGATAATAGGTATAGATGAGCATAATAAATAAATAAAACCTTAATTATAAAAATAGGTTGCAGACAAGGGACTGTCTATAGCCAGCAACTTTGAGTTTTAAACTACTCTATTAAAAAAGTTGGCAGAAAGTCAGTAGATTTTACATGAGATAACAGCAGGTCGGACCGTCTCTCCTCGCAGTGACACACGATGTGGCTGCTCAGTTTCTGCCCTATTTTTCTGTACCCACTGACTATATCCCCCCAGCCCCCATGCCTGCCACAAGTTCAGAAGGCCACCTCATTGCTGGCCTTATCCATTTTCGTGTCCTGCCGTGGAGTCTTTCACAGTGCCCCATGTTTCATGTTGCCTCTGGAGCACTTACAGGTCAGCCTCAGCCTGTGCCCTGAAATCAGCCTGTCTACCAAGGCCTCCTTGGCTGTCACATCAGCCAAGGGAATGAGGCTCCCATATTTCCAGGGTAAGTTCAGATTTCAACTGTCGTTGTTCTCTCAGCCACAAGTCTTGGGCAGATCGCATGAGTCTGGAAGTCCTCCTCCTGCACCTCCCTCTGTGCTGCCTGGCCCGTTCCAGGCCTTCTGCTTGCCTCTAGGACTCTCACACATCTCTCTCTCTCTCCTCTCTCTCCTCTCTCTCCTCTCTCTCCTCTCTCCCTC